CAATGGAACAGATAGATACATGAAATGGTAATCAGTAAAGAAATAGAACTGAGATTAAAAGACAATGTTGGGGCAAAAGTGAATGACTGTAAGTAAAGGCTGGAAGTTAGAAAGTTCCTAACATGTAGGAGCAAGTGGAGTTTGATTATTTCTAGGAAAAGAATGATGACAGAAATGCCTATAATGACTGAAGACTGTGACTGATGATTCTGAAGTTTATACTTTTACTGTTCAACCCCATGAAAAGGTAATGCCTCTCTATAGGTTTCCCCATACAGTAAGCAGTCTATGCATATAATTTTCTGATAAGGCACCCCTATTGCCTTACAAAGTAATCTACCACTTCAGTCAAGCAGATTTATGCACCTTTATGAGTTGTAGCAGCAATAGGGCTGGTTTAAAAATTGCAGTATTTTAATTTTTTCAGGTTTTTCAGTAGCAGCAACACAATCTGCTTTTTGTTACAATGGTTTCTCGCCACTGCCACAAAGGCAGCAGCAGTTGGCAACTGTCAGAAAGCTTGCCTGTCTTTAAATACATGTAACTGCTAAAGGAAGAACAGTAGTTTCATAGACTGTAAAAGTATTAAAGCCCATAGCATTAAAGAGATCCCTGATTAACAGAACCCAAACAATTGAAAAGTATATAAGTCATACACACGCAAAACCCAATTCTTTATACAGTAATCTTACAGTTCCCTCAGTTTCACCCAAACTAAATTAAAATGAGAACCTTCAGGCAAATTGCCATTAAATGAAAACTCTTAAAAGGAGAATGTACAATCTAATTATACTGTTACAAATGTGTACCTTTCATCTACAAGGCTGGTACTCCAAATTATAATAGTCAATTATGATTATATAATCTATTAAAAAGAATAAGCAAAGTGCTATAATGAAAAAGATAAACCTACAAAAGAACATGAAAGACATTTCTAGTGGCACAAAGTGGTGTAACAGTAGTACCATATACAATTTCCTTTCTCTTGTAGCTTGTATTTAGATTATGTTGCAGAGATGGGGTGCTGGCAGTCACTTCCTGAATTCTCATGAATGTATTCCCTCTGGCAAGTTCCTACTGAATTATTATTTACAATATCCCATGAATACAGCTGTCTGGAAATAAGAGCATGAGGCTCATAACTAAAGTAGTAAACCATGGTTAAGAGAAGTACTTTCTTTAATTTTGCATGTATTAACGCATTATTTTCAAAAATGCCTTCCTTCTTTCCTTATTCCTTTCCTCTCTTCTCCCTCCTTTCCTTTCTTCCTTCCTTCCTTCCTTCCTTCCTCTTTTTTTCACAATTTTTAATTACATAATGACACAGTTAGCAAATATACTGAGAAGTGCTAAAGCATGATCGAAGTTATGGAATAGTTTCTATTCTGTGAATGAACAACTAGAACAGGGCCTTTCAACCTAAAAAGATGAAACTAGGGGAGATATGAAAACTCTGTAGTATCATAAATGATGGTAAGATGACAAATAAGGAATCTATCCATTACCTTTGCAAATACAAGAAGTTAGGAGTCTCAAATGAAACAAAGAATTTACTTTATGCAATGTGCGGGTCGGCCAAGGAATTTTGTAATAGGACATGGTGGATAGTAAACGCATTCAGACTCAAAAAGTGAATGAGCAAATTCATTAAAGAAAAATAGTCCAGTGTCTCTTGAACCAGTAGACATTACCACTGCCTTAGGGAAAATCTGAACTGACTCTTTGGAGGCTGTGAGAACACAGCAGATGTCTAGAGAGGAGAGTGTAGGAACAAGGTAGTAACATACTATCAGCTGCTGTCAGAGGCAGAAATCAAGTCAGCTATTTTTCTGCAAACACGCCTTATGTGAAAATTGCAAACTGCCCTAACTCTAATGCATTTCCTATGAATGAGATCCAGCTTAAGGGGAGCACGCTCAAACTGTAAGAGGACTGAAATCAGATGTATTTGATCCATTTCCTTTGCATTGTCTGTGATCATAGTCTAAACCACCAAACTCCACGTTGACTGAATGACTTTTTGGTTAAGAATTTTCTCACATATAATGTCTACACTGTATTTGGAGTTTATCATTGCTTAGGAGCTTTTCTTCTGTAATCTACAATTAAGAAGGAAAAATCTCTAATAATTGTGATTCCTGGTGTTATTGTTGCTAAAAAGATCTCAGTTCATATTCAAAACTTGATCACTGTTAAAGGAGACCTCTCTCTGGTACTTCCACAGTTTCAAAGGGGTACTTCCAACCTATTTCAAATATCCTTTACTAAAATAATATTCCTTTAATCTGTGCTAACATTTCTTTTTCTTTTCAGGCTATAGAATACAATTAGTGCAAAATAATGTTTTTATTTCTGCCTTTTGAGAGCCCCCACCTTTGAGAACCTGATTTCTCTTCTATATATTTCTGTGTTCAATATGATATTCACATGCATATTCACCAACCTCAGACTCAGAAGTTAATCTCCACAGACACTCACATAGCCATCAAAACATGTTTCAAAAAATGCCTACCAATACTCTATAAAGACCTCCTAAGACCTGCACTTCCTTAAGCAACACTGTGGAAAGAACAGAAAATATGGCTGCAGAAAAACTGACAGCTTCATCTACATGTGGGGTTTTTTCTAATGCTGAACTGTGTAGTGTTGCATGTCCTCCAACAGTTCCCGTGGGCCATGACTAATTGCGGATGTTCATAAGAATGAATATTCTAGCATGAGTATTACTACGTGAATGTATTAAACAAGTTGCAATGCCTTTTCTGACAGTTGCCTCAACTGTGGGACCAATGAGAAAATCAAAACAACACAATTATTGATGTGAGCACAGGCTTAGAATAGCAATTTTTCTGGAAAAAATCTTCCAAACCATATCAGTTCCATTGACTGTCTTTTCCTGTCCATCAAGGCCTTTGTGATAAAGCTAAGTCTCCTTCAAGTTTTTGTTTACAGAGCAATGCTGTGTTTCGTTTCCCATTTTGTACAATTTCCACTTTGTATAAATAGTTCTTCACTAGAGCAAGTTAACCACAGCTACAGGGAGATAGATCTCAAATCACTTGTCAATTAGTCACTTTGACAAAATCTACCCAAGTCTAGATTCAAGGTCCAAATAATGCAGGGTATGTGTCTGAATCTGAGTCTGCTAACCTCACAGGGAAATGCCCTATCACTCATTTACTGGCAAGGGAATTTCTCTTAGTCAACAAAAAATACTGATTCTTTCAAAATTCACATGTGAATTTCTGTGCAGCTTCCATAGGTTTAACTTAAAACCTTTTTTTTTAAAAAAATATTTGTGAATGCTTAAGTGGTGATTGCAATGGAGAGCTGCTTAAGATGTATTTGAGGATGAGTGTAGATATTAGGCCTGATTTAGGCACCAGAAAAATTTTTCTCCTTTCTTCTTCTTTACAATGCATTTATGGGTCCAATACACAAGAGTCCAGAATTCAGGATTCTTCTTGGGTAGATTGTGTTGCCTGAAGAAAACATTTTGCCCAATATGCTGGTGAAGTACAGTTTAAGAAACATTTTATAATAATACTGTTATTGAAGTCATGCTGGGCTTCTTTTTTTTTTTAGAAGCACCAAGCACTCAGTTTCCCATGCTTTAGTATTTGTTTACAATTAAAAGCTTGAGTTACCAAATTATAAGTATATATATATATAGCTCATATCCATTCAAAAATGTTAGTAATGAGACAGCATATATATGAAAGACTCCACTCTGCCTGGGTTTGGTTTTTATTCAGTAGCATGCCATAACTGTGGAATGTATCCAAATAATGTTTAATTGGGAGAAATCTTACAACTGCAGGATGACTTTTATGGGGCAGTTAATCAAAGTATCTTTGTTTGCTTCGCAGTGTTTGTTAATATATATTTTAATGGAGTATTAATCTTTTCCAGAGAGTACTACATGAAAGAACAAAATATAAAGCTCTTGCTTTGCTTGATATACTGTGCAGAGATTAATAAACATACTTCATTTTGACATAGAATTATAGGAATACAGGAAAGCAGAATAATTAAATTGACACCATTATTTTCCAAGTATCTGTAGTTCTAAAATTTAATTACAGGAGAAAAAAATATATTCTCACTATCCACCATTGATTACAATGGAGATGGAAGATTCTGATGTGGCTTAAAGTTAAATCAGGAGACACCTGCTCAGGGGTTACCTGTCCATTACTGAATGCCAATTCCTATTCCCAGGCCTGTTTACTCAAAACAGTAGCCTGTTTACTCAAAAAAGTTTTCCAATGAGGTTTACTTGAAATAAAAACTGGCTTATGCAGGTGGTGGTTTTGAAGGAATCCCTTGATCTTGAACCTTTGATTTCAAGGGAGAATCTTAATGAAATTACTTGAGGCATCCTAAGCCCTGTTGACTGCAAAAATGGACCACAACTGATGAACAGAAAGCTGATGATGCCGGTTTGGTTTTGTTTGCGGTTGTTATGGTTCTAACTGCGTCAGCAGTTATGCCATGATCATGCAAATATTTGTTCACCTAATTCTAAACACGGCTTTATTCAGTAAATCCAGCGGTTTGCAGAGCCGGCGGCGATAACGCGGGCCCGGGGGGCTCGGGCAGACGGGGAGGCGATCGCTCAGCGCCGGCACTGCGGCGGGCGCGCTCCTCGGGGCGCACAGCCACGCCACCGCCTTCCCGCTGTCAGCGGCTCCCCGCCAGCGGGGCAGACCGGCCGGGAGGACACACCGCGCTCTGCGGCCACCCCGCCGTGGCTGCCGGGGCCGCCCGGGGCGCGGCGGGCGGGCGGCGCCGCAGGAGGGCGGGCGGCGCCGCAGTGAGGCCGCGCGGGCGAGGCAGCGGCGGCCGTTGCCATGGCAGCGCTGCCCCGGCCCGCGGCTTGAGCGGCGGCGCGGGAGGGGCGGGGGCGCCCCACGGTCGGGCCCGGCCCGCGAACGGGTTAAAGCGGGCGGGCGGCGCCGCGGGGGTCGCGGCTGGGGGCAGCCTGCGGGCGGGTGAGGGGAATGGGCCGAGGGCCGTGCTCCGGGCGCATAGGGAGGCTGCGGAGGTGAAGCCTCTGCTCCCTCGCCCGGCGGGATGGAGGCTCTTGGCGCCGCAGAGGACGTGTTTTATGACGAGGAGGAGGAGGAGGAGGAGGCGGCGAACTGCTACGATTTCGAGCCTCTGCCGACGCTGCTGGAGGACGAGGTGAGTGTGGCAGGTGCGGGGACGGAGCCGCCGCCCTTGCGCTCACCTGTGGTGAGGCGGCCGGGCCGGGCCGGGCCAGGGGAGCGGCCGGCCCGCGGCGGCAGCGCCGTGAGCTCCCCGTGTGCCCCCGCCGGCTCCTCGCCGCCCCTGCCCGCCGGTCCCAGCCAGCAAGTTGGGCTTGGCCCATCCCCGTGCACCTTCTCCATACAACAGCAAAGTCACGGTCCTCGAATGCGGGATGTCTCGTCACTGCTGTCATAGCCGTGGGCTAATGCTGCAGTCGGCGAGTACGTGTCCTTGTCGCACTCGGTGAAGGGAAATTTACACGGGCACAGCTATTTTCAGAAGCTACCAACCAGTTTTGTGTACAGCCGCATATTGCTGCCCTGTGCAAAAAGGCCTTTGACACTGAGAAATTAAAAAAAAAGCCCAAACCCATCAAACTGTTATATCTGTTTGTTCAGTTGTTATGCCCAATAACCTGTAGCTAAACCCTGTTCTTGTCATCACGTTTGTCTGGATTTATTACTGGGTTTGCACTTGCTTTTTATTGCTCCTTCTCGTCTTTGTATCTTTCCACATGATGTGTGTTTCTTACTCCCTAGGGAATATTTGGGCAAAATGCTTGGAGTTTCCTTCTTTTTTTTTTTTTTTTTTTTTAAAGTAAAAGTTTGGTGAGCCATATGTGAGCTGCTCATTTCCCACACCAGATCTTGCAAACTTTCTTATTTGCTATGTCAGGAATCTAAGCTGAATTAGGATTTAAAAGTGAGTTTGAAAATGCAAAGTCCTTTTCAGCTTCCCTAAGTCATCGAATGGCTCAGCAGTTTGACTCTTCTGCCATCTGTAGTGTTCAGTGCAGTAGGCCCTCTGGACTCACCCATGCAAGACATAGAAGGAAGGTGGTAATGGCCTCATTTTTACACATTAGCTTAAGTTTTAAGGGTATTTCCTCAGAATGGGAGAGAAAGCTGAGGGTCAACTCTTACGTATGAGAAAGACCTGGGCCCATTTTTCATACCTGGTCAATATATACTTTAATTGTGGGTCCCATCTATTTAGTTACTCCAGAAACATAAATAGTTTCAGTACTTTTGTTGAGACAATGAGCGTAACCTATCACCTGGTGATTAGAGAAGTTAATAAAAAAGGGCTGCTCTGAAGAGTACTCAGAGAGCTTACTCAGGCAACCCAGTGTTTTTTTTCAAATGTGATGAATTTAATTAATAGTTGCTTTCCACATTTTCTGTGTTTCTGGAATAGACGGATTTGAAGTTTGTGTGAATTATCATGGCAAAAAGACTAAGTTGCCAGAAAGCTGTGAATGCTGTTGTACTGAACTCCCAACTGCTTAGTCATTTAGTGCATTTCTCATCATTGTACCCAATATAAGGAATGAGGTTGGTGTCTGATGCATGTGGGTTTTTGCCAGTATGTGAAGCAGAATCTGACTGATCTGAACAGTAGGAATTGCTGAGGATGAGGATATGTTTCAAATTCCTTTCTCTACTAGAACTTTTCTTTGTTTCACACTCCTTAATATTTAATTTAAATTTTTTTGGGAAGTTGTCTTTGGCCAATAATTTACCTTCTCTACTTGCTCTCTCTTAATATCTCTGCTTAGTTATATGCTACTAAACTGTTTTATACTTGCTGAAGAAACTATAAGGGGAAAGTGTGAACTAAAGTAAATAATAAAGCATGTTTGTCTGACCTGTTCACTTTTCATAGTTTTTAAATAGTAGTAAAACTAGGCTCTTTTATACAACTGTCTTTTGCTGAAAGAGGCAAAAGAAAAGAGGCATCAGCATCTCTGTGGCCCAAAGTATTGAAGTAGTAGCTTGCCGGAAGATTCAGATTGCCAGAATCTCCTGTGTTAGTCTTAAAAGGATGTTTTTCTCCCAGGGCAAAAACTCTGGTTTTGTGTCGCTTTGGGGATGCAAACTAGTCAACTGCATGTCTCCGTGTTTTCAGTGCTTTGTTCTCTACAAAGGCCTTGCTTTGCTACAATAGCAGCTTGAATAACTAAGGTCAAGATAGTGTGATCATTTGGGAAATACAAGGTTTCTGCGAAGTAAATAACTTATTGTCCTGAAGCACTGAAAATAGAAAGACTTGCTAATGGTAGTCTCTTGCTTTATTTATTGTTTTATTTTCACTTAGGCATTGAAGATGGGAGCCACTGAACATTCATAGGCCTTTTATTCTTTTTCCTTTTTTTTTCTTTCTCTGTATTGCATGACTGTCTCATTTCTTGAAATGAAGATAAGCTTATTCTGACATGAGATCATCACTTCTCATTTACTTCCCAAATAACCACAAGACAAACATGGTTTTGGAGGTTTATACTGTAGGTGTCATTGCTGGTAATTATCTGCAGTGAAGTTCGGCCTCGAAGCTTGACTCAAAAGAAATTCTATTACATCCTTCCATTCAATGTACATTTAATGTCATTGAGAAGTATAGTCTTTAGTTTAAATTACTTACATATAAATGAGAAAACACTATGTAAGTAATCGTGGTTATAGCTCTGATGCAGAGTAACTTCTGTAGATTACCTTCTTTTTTTTTTACCTTATTTTTTCCTTAGAGGTGGAATTGATGTTTTGTTTGAGTCTTTTTTTATCATTCCTTTAAGTTCGTGAAAACTTTACTTCTGTAGCTGTAATGTAGTAGCTTTGTATTCTAAAAAATGTCCATAGAAACGCTAGCCGCTTTGAGACAAGCGTTGTTTCTGAACATCTTGACCAGTAAAGCCACATTAGGGACACATTTTTTTGGAACTGAACTCTTCATAGCCTTACTGTGATAACAGGGTCAATGCAAGTTGACTTACAGTTTAGGACAGTAACTTAGAAATTAAGTCCATGACCTGCTTTTGATCACTAAGAGCTCTGAGGGAGGCCTAGGACAACCAAAGGGATTTTAAGACAAATTATAAGAACAGTTTTCCTATGGCATGTTTGGCTTTTGAATGTTTATTAAGTGGTCTACACCACTTAACTTCATAACTGCATCATTCTTAAGATAGTCTAATTTAGAGGGCACTTTTTCCCAGATCACAGGGGAGAAGTGCTGTGACGAGGGTTTTTAAGTAGTTTATGTAAAGGCACCTGGGAGCGCTGGAGAGAGGCATAGATGAAACAAAATGTTTTAACTTAGTCTCTCTGCTTTTACCTCCAAGGGGTCTGTTTCACTAACTGTGATACAATGTTTATGTAACTTACGGATCTCTCGTTTTAAATAACTTCGTTAGCATACTTTGATATCTTTGTTCGAGTTAACTATGCTTAAAACACTCTGTGTTATGAGGAAAGATGGGCTTGGTGTTTGTTGGGGTGTTAATCAGTGTCCTAGAAAGTCTGAGAATTTGCTGGAAACATCACTTGTAGCCAATTGTGTCAAACGTAATCTATGATATACGAAGTAGTGTCATGAAATCCAGGGTAATTTATTAATTCATATCTTGGCAGGAGAATGTGTCCCTTGCTGATATTTTGTCACTGCGGGATAGCTGTCTTACTGAGCAAGATATTTGGGCAATTTGCCTGGAGTGTTGCCATTCTCTGAAGAGCATTGCCCATTCTGCAATCTTCCAGACACTCTGCATCACTCCTGACACTTTGGCTTTTAACACCAATGGCAATGTATGCTTCATGGAACAGCTCAGTGGTAAGTATTTGTGTTTCCAGGCTATTTGTTTTAGAACTGTGGAAACTTACAGTGAGAAACTGCAGTAAAATATAACATTCTAATTTTGAAGACAAATAAAATAAAGATAAAAACTTATTTGGGAGTGCGTGTGTATAGGTCCATATGAAACTACATGTTCAGTTTTGTAATTGAACAAAGGCTGCTATGAGTTTGCTTAGAAAATTCCTCTTAGTTATTTTAAGACTTATCCTGGTGATATCTTATGTCCATTTCAAATGCTGTAGATTATGTGTTTGTGTATCTGTGGGCTCAAGTCTTTACCTGTGTAAAACCCATCCTTGCTCTCTTCCAGATCTTCTAATTTCATAGATATGTTCTATTTTTAGAGAAATTTGATATTCAGTGTATCGTGGTGATTGTGAACTTAAAGAATGGGGCAATTCTAGTATACATTTGCTGTTTAAAAGGAAAGCCCTCTCTTCAATAAGGGCCTTTTTTAAATTTATTTTTAGCGCTTTCTCTTGAAAAAAGAATTATTATTTTTTTAAGTCACAATTTTTAGACTCGCCAAGTGTGGGGACTGACTGAGAAATTAATTTTAATGTTAGAAAGGAGTATGGAGTAGCATGTAAGATCCTCAGGTCTTGCAGCAGGTGAACAGGGGGATGCTTAACTTTAAAAAAACTTCGGGTTTAGCAGAGACGAAAAAGCATGTTATTGTTGCTCTTCCCTTCTCACATGATCCACCTCAAGATGATGGATCTTGAGCCTATTAATGATCTTACAGAACAACAGAAAAAAACCCAAACAACTCTTATTTGATGGTACTTCTGAAATTATGTCAACCTATAACTAGGAGAACCATTCTAGTCTATATACACACACTATTCAAGTTTTTATTGTGTTTTCTTTAACAAAATTTTTTTAAAATCCATGTCAGAATAAGTGCTTGTTATTTTAGTCAAAATCTACATCACAGTATTTAAAAAAATAGTAGATAAAAAAATAAGGTAAGGCAACAAATGAAGATGTTGCCTTCTTTAGAATTAAAGATGGTATTTCAAATAAACACGTAACTTAATAAAGTGCAGTTATTAAAGATGAAAACATATCTTCATAAATGCTGTGATGTATCTTTTTTGTTAAATTTTTCAAGTATATGTGACTCAACTTTTAGTTTCATATTAATAGGGTAATGTGGAATCAATTTCCTTCATTTGAAGGAGCTTGTCGTACTTTGAAATTAAAAAAAAGAAAAAGAAGCTGGCTTTGTACAAGCCAAGGGTATATAAAAGACTTGTTGAAGAGAATAAATCTAGTGGATGAAAAATGCCCCTCAACTAAAATCTTTGCTTGCAGATGGGAAAGAAAAAAATCAATTTCTTTTTGAATGTGTTAGTCTAGTTGAATAGCTGGCGAACAATTGATCCAGGAATTTGTTGTATTCAAGTGCTTAAAATCTGGGATAAAAAATTCCTATGCAATGCAAATATACAAAGATTTAATTCCCTGAGGTCATGTTAGTCTCTAAGGAAGAGACTTGTTATAAGTTATCTTTAAAAAAAAAAGTTGTATTTTCCCTGGCAATGCAAAAAGTTATGTTTATATTCTGTTTCACATGCTCCACCGTGTCTTTGGCTCCTTCTGTTTCCCTCAGATCTTGTTACTATTTGGTTAAAATATAGTTTGTTAGATAGGAACTTGAGGAGGTTGTCCTTTTTGCTTCCTTGTAGTTGTTGCCTATAGATTTATTCTTCCAGAAGAAAATTATAACCTCCGGATTTGCTTGTCAGTAAGGGAAAATGAACAGTCTGTCGTCTCTGCTTTAGCAGCAAGTTCTACTTCCTGCAGGTTCTGTGTTGCTAAAGTGACAAACATTCAATAGGATGTTCTGCCAAGGGGTCTGATATCTTCTTGTCTCTTGAGATCAAACAAATTTCCATTGTAAACATTATATTAGAAGAATACAGTAAGCTGTACCAGCAGTAAAGATTGTGTACTTCTACAGCCTTAAAAGTGTTCTGTGGAAAGAAAGTGAGAAGGTAGCGTGGAGGTGAAAAGAAGCAGAAGTCTGCAGGTGGGAAAGAGGGGAAGAAAACATCTGTCCATTAGTTCCTTTCCCCTTTTGCCTCCTCCCCAAAATATCAGGAAAAAATGTGGGGGTGGGTAAGGAATACAAAATTAGTTGCATACCCCTCCTTTCAGTGGGGAAGTAGGATTGGGAACATCATAAGGAGCTGTAAATCAGTGAGTAGCATCTGGATAGTCAGCTGTGCCATGTAGCTGCAATATCTGAATATGCAAAAAAAGAAGTCCTCTCCAATAGTCTCTTCCATATAACTGAGTTTAGTATCTTCACAATAAGAGCTTTGCATTTCACTTCTAAAATACAGGCACAAGAGTTCTATTAAACCTAAAGCTATGATGAGTATGCTATGCCTCTGAGCATACTAATTTTTTTCTCCTTGTTGAGAAGGGAAACATAATTTTTGCTTGCAAATTATCTCAGTCATCCACTGAGCTTCTCAAAAGGATAGCTTAGGTAAGTTGAATAAGTATGTGAAGAGTAGGTTTTCAGTCGTGCACTTGTTTAATTCCATAGTGTTCTTTACTGGGTTCATCGGTACATACTGGTGGCATCAGTATGGTGTGATACTACATACCTGCTTGGATGCAGCAACAACATCAGTCTCTCTTAAGATCTTTCCTTCCTTCCTTCTATCTCTTCACTCAGAGTTGTCTGCTGCAGCAGCTCTGCTAAACCACACGTGCATGGGGAATTTGCTGCCTCAGCTTTTTTATCATAAGTAAAACAAGCTAATCAGAAAGGTCAGAGTTCTAAGCTGGCCTGTAGATGAAGGGGCAATTAGCTGTTCAGATTGGGTTTGCTGCTTGAACCCATATCACCCAGGTCCGCAGTGGAAAATAGTGAATGAAAGTGTTCCATTAATCAAATCAAACCTCTGAGCCACACCAGCTTAGGTGATAACTTGGTCCAGACATTAATGTCTGAAGGCAAGAAGTGGTTAGACATGTTAAGTGTATTTCTTTGTGGGTGTTTAATCTGTTTTGTTCTTAGTAGGAAAATTATGGTATCTTCTTGCAGAAAGTTTGAAAACAACAAATTATTTTACTTCCAATAGTAGAAGCATCGATAACAAGTTCTTTGTACATCAAACATGAGTGAAACAAAATACTGCTGTACACTGTTTCTTTTGTATCAGATAATTAAATTTGTATCATCAAATTGCTTTGTGCTTGTTTTTTTTTTTAAACAAGTAGGACTACTAATTTCTAATCTGACATGTTTCCTTTTGCTTCCAAAGATGATCCAGAGGGTGCCTTTGTTCCACCAGAATTTGATATCACCGGTAACACTTTCGAGGCAAGTTCATAAATTTATCTGTAAAATAGAGGGGAAGTTAATAATTTTAGTACTTCTGGCAGTACCAAATGCTTAGCATTTTTAACATGTAATTTTAAAACTTTTAAACCACAAAAATGCTGGTTTGTGGTCAGTAGTAAATAGTGCTGTTTAGATATGTTTTGTGGAAATAAAAATTAAACTTAAAATACTATATTAATTGTCTGTATAAACAGTTGCTCACTAACTGCTAAAATGAGAATCTATTTTGACTGAATAATGTGCTGCCCTAAACCACAGCTGGTCTATATTATGTTCACTGGTATCCTTCACTGGTTACATTTGCTTGTTTGGGGACTAGTCATGAACTTTTATGACTAAATATAAAATTTGTTTGCCATCCTCTTCAATAAAATAATTCAGGGAAGGGTAATCAGCAATTTTATCTTTGATTTAATGAAGAAACAAATTACTATCTGTTGCTTTGCAATGCACAAATGCTCTACATTGTTAAATTAAATTAGATTTAAATTGTTTATACTAATTCATTAGCCTCCCAAGTCAACCATCTCATTGCATGCTGCAGGAGCACTTGCTTGCTTAATATCCTTTTTCTTAATACACAATTTTTTCTGCCATGTGTTCTTAGATAATTCAAATGTTTTAATCAGCAACACATTCAAGTCAAGGTACGTAAAAAAAATCTGGTGCTTTATAATTCACACAAGTATCTTTTGCTTTTCATCATTACAACCTTCATAGTCATGTTTATAGTTCTCTGTATTTTCTTGGGACTGGGCAGTGGTGAGGAGGAGGAGATGTGGACCTTGGAACTGTGAAGAACTGCATGCAAAATGAGAATGATAAGGCAGGAAGGGTAGTATAATAGGGCTCCCAGAGTATGAAGTAGTACAGTCTTTGAAGATTAGAGATGCAACATTTCTCCCTGTTGCTGTGCTTTGTTACTGTATCTGTTTAGGTCAGCAGAGCTCTAGTGATTTTGTGCTCACTCTCCCTGTCACCCCCATGCTGATTTGTGGAGAGTCTTTTTTGGGGGGACAGGGAGTCAGTGCAAGTGGAGGATCTTTCGGAGGTAGCCTGCATGGCATGTAAACTTGGTAAGTGTAGTAGCCTTTATATTCAGATGTAGTTATGGAAAGCAAGACCCACAGGTGACTATTTTTGGAGTTTTTTTTTTTTGTTGTGCTTCTGAAGCTGGACTTAAGATTCTACCTAAATATGTTCTCCATCCCTTAACAAGCTTCCAAGACTTGACACAGAAACACTTAAAAGATTTGTGGAATTATTAGCTCCTTTGGCAAACTTTCATTTCCCCCAGCTGTTTTTCCTCCCTTAGGAGTTGCTGAACTGGTATGCATATGGCAAATAGATACACTCAAAGAGGTTCAGAAACTGAGGAGATAGAACAAGGTGAAGTAGGAATTTGGGAAGGCTGGGGGAAAACTAAGTGACCTGAAATTTTAGTTCTGTATGATATACAAGGCCATTGTATCCCTCTTGGATAAAACTTACCTGTGCACAGATTTATTGTTGAGCTCTTCTCTTTCAGCAGAACTTACCAGCCTGTTAAGCGCCAGTGAATCCCAATACCAAGCACAGCACAATTAGACAGTCAGTGACAGCTGTTTGAGTCAGGAGTGGCTCTGAACATTGACCCCTTTACTCTTTTTGCAAAGGTCAGTGAAGATACGTTAAGTCCCACATTTGTGTGGAAGGCAGGCAACATGCTCTGCCTTCTATGTTGTGAAGTGGGGTGAGGGTTGGGTACTCTGATTTCTGTTCAGTGCTGCTGTTTCTTGATCTAGTAGATTGGGAAGCCTGCAAAGCAGAGAGAGCAGTGCTATGAGTATTGTTGCCTCAGCTGTTTTTCACTGACCATCTTAAAGAAACGTGCAAAACTGAAAAGTGAGGGCTTTCCCCTGCATTGAGACAGAGATATATTGTTCTGCTCTGGGATTTGTGTGCATTTTGTCAGACAGCTGTGGGATTCAGATATTTGTGGAACTTTCAAAGTTTTACTTCTTACCATTTGTAGAGTTTACTTGTGTTTTTAACTGCTTTAGTACCAGACCAAATTCTACCAAAGATTCCACACTGATCTCTGCTTGTTTTTGCATTTGCAGTTTCCAAGGCCTGCAGTGGGTTAATCCTTACATACTTGTTACAAGGGTTTTATAAACTGTAATCTTTCCAAGCTGCCTGTTTCCTTCTTGGTGTTAATACGTCAAGTTCTCTCTTCCAAAGGTATTGATAACTTTTGTCTATACCCTCTACTCCACTGTAACCTCCTATGGTGCAATAGAAGAATAGCACTGCTTTCTATACACCTCTCTGAGGAAACCCTGGACCCTTGTGCTTTCTCAGTATTACAAGATTCTTTGTACTATTCCAATAAGCTGCCCTTTTTACAGGGCATCAAGTCTTGTGTGTTACTGCTTGCTCCTTCCTTGGTAGTGACGTGACTCGGTTGTTCTTTGTTCAAGGAGTGTTTTTGCAGCTGCTTGCTTTGTTTAGAACAATAGGAAGTAGTGTCTGTATTGAAACTGTCCAATGTCAATATAAAGAGAAAAAATTAGTTTTGGAACTACTAATTATGTTCAGGATGATCTTTGATAGCTGTTACTCCAATGTCAAAGCTCAGCTGATTTAAAATAGTTATGTCAGCCAGAGGTTTCGCTCAATTTGAGTGTGACCTATTTTGTGGCTTCTAATGTGGAGGCACACAATGAGATTTGTATGGCTACTGGATGACTTCTTCCTCTTTAAACTCCTTTTAAAAAAAATCTGTCAATTAAAGCTACAGTTATTTCAACAAGAGATGTTTTGTTTCCTGCTTGGTGAATTACTGATCCAGACCTCTAATGGAATTGTGACTCCAGCCTAATTAGTTACTAAACTTAGCTGGCACTCACAAGCACACAAGGGTAACAGACGCAGGAAACAAATTGAAATGCATTACTGTCCTGGTGTCTGAAACAACACTATTAAAAATTTCAGTTTCTAGTTGGAATTTCAAATAGCAAGAGGTCTAAAGCTTTGTCCAAATGACAATGCACAGAACTGAAAAGTAATTGATTTCATGTGGTTTGTTTTAGACTTGTGCCTTGTTTCCTGATCTGCTCTCAATTTGTAAAGTGGAAATAATAACAGCAACTTCAGTTACTGTTGAGAGCAGAAAGGTGAAAACTAGCCCTTCAGGGAGCTGTCAGCTTCAGTGTCAGATGTAGAATAGACATTTTAGAGAGAAGTATGGTTAAGAAGGAATTAGCTGTGAAAGGGGCCTTTGGTGCCAACAGTGAAATGTGGCTGACTTTCCAACTGGTGGCTTTAGTGCTGCTGCAGTTCCAGCGTGTGGGTTGGAGGAAGGATTGTAGTTTCTGAGGGTCTCAAGAGACCTTGAAATTACTGTGTTGCTGAGTGGTTGGAGTGGCATTGAATAGGGCAGTTCTGTTATGTCCTCTTCCAGGTTTAAGCATTGTCACAGTGCGAGTGCAGAAAGGCAGCCAAGCAGGTACCACTGATCTCTAGGACAGCACTGAAATAAAACAGAGAATCTCCTGGGTATCTGTTCATGGTAATTTTTTTCTCCAACTTTGCTTTCTCCTTACAGACTAGGACACTACTTGTGTCCCAGTAACTGCACTGTTAAGAATTGGTGCTTCAAATAGAGGGAACAGAACATAAACTTTAGAGTTGTAAACCGTACTGTGACTCCAAAGAAAGGGTGAATTTCTATATAGTGCACTTATTATCATTTGCGTTTTTATTCTTCACGCAGATGCAGGTATGTGATGTGACTGGGCTCAGTAAAAGTTTTCACATCACTGAAGTTGTCACTTGCCTGCATTGATGGAAAGATGTCACTTCCTGCTTTTCCTCTAAATTGGAAATTGTGTCTGAATTTGCTATAGCAAGTGTTGACCACAGTTTTGTTCTCATTGAATCTTGATCTAGAAGTCAGAAACATCTGGAGTATAAAGACTAGCCTGTAATTTTGTGATGTTTTACTCATACTACTATAGAGAGCAGCAAAGAATGTGAATTTTTCTGTGGTAGAAAAACATGGAGACCAAGATGCAGAAATACATGTTTGAAGCTTCTTTTAAAATTTGCCCTGATTGTCTCCTCTGGATAGGAAGAGCTTTAGCATTTTTGTTGATGAAAATGGTTCTTATTTAATTTTCTTGCCCTGGGCAATACGGTGCTAGACTTGTGAAATTTGACCAATGGGAGGCTCAACAGGAATAGTTAAATATTGGTGAGTTCATTAATAGCCTTACTTCTATCACTACAATAGAAGATTGCCTCAGGTTAAAAACATTGGGTATCTCAAACTAGTTTCAAATAGCTATTTGTCTGCATCACAAAACTGCCATTGAGACTGACACAGAGGTTCATTGATGTGGAACCCCACATTTCTGAGATATGAGCTTTCAGTGAGATGAAGGACCAGTGTCTGCTGTGTGTGAACTTGCATTTATAATCTTTTAATAATGTGGCTATTCAATTTGGCTTTTTCTAGTGAACCTCTGTGACAGAAATCAGTGAATTTTCAGTCTTGTCTGCCTAGTTTTGGTTGGGTTTTTGGTATTTTTTTTATCTCAAGGAGACTGGGTAATGCTTCTGTTAATGGCTTATTGTTTAGAGTGATAAAATACAGTAGTTCAGAAACTCAGTGTGCAGCAGGACAAAAACTTTTCAAAAATTAAAGAACTGAAACAGTTAGAGTTAAATACTACCTTGAAGAGAAGGAGGAAGTACTGCATAGAGAAGAGAAGAATATTTTCTCATCTAGAATTTGTTCTTATTCTTACCTATCAGGGCAGGAATAGGGTATGCTAATCTTTCACCTGGGAGAGAATCAGACCCAGAAAAGGCTGACTGCTGCCTGTCTCAGTTAAAATGTCATAGCTGTCAATTTGCAGTTCTCGGTGGGTTGTCATTGATTTATATTATATAAAAAATGTCCAAGTGTTTCAGCAACCTTAAAAAGAAACAAA